CCAGGCTGGCCTCGAACTCACAGTGATTCTACTGCCTCAGCCTCCTGAGTGCTGGGATTACAAGCATGCACCACCACGCCCGGTGTTAACTATTTTTTAAGGTATTATAACTGGGTGTTTCTGTTACTGGAGCCAAATAGGTTCTTAACATTCAAGTGACAAACAGTATTGTCAAGGTCAGGTTAGTGTAGGCGGGGCGCTGGATGGCAAGGTTTCTACGACAGATGTCACAGATGGCCTCGTTGTCTACCATGAAGGCACAGTCAGAGTGCTCCAGGGTGGTGTGGGTGGTGAGGATGGAGTTGTAGGGCTCTACTACAGCTGTGGAGACCTGGGGGGCTGGGTAAATGGAGAACTCCAGCTTGGACTTCTTGCCATAGTCAACGGAGAGATATTCTGTGGTAGGATGAATGATAGGCACAGTATTTTGCAATTCCTCTTATCAAGAAATAGCGTCTATACAGGCCTATGTTTGTTTATCTGAGTAACCAGTTTGAAGATATCAATATGTAATACAACCATTGTTAATTTCCTATCACCTAGTCTGAAATTCTGTATTACTTGTATTGTTTATGTGTTATTTTGCAAATATATGTGTGTTTGTTAATATGTTTTCTTTGTTCTTTCATCTTTAAAATAAAAAAATAAAGAAATAGGGTCTATTTCCCATGCCTTGAATCTGGGCTGGCCTTCTGACTTGCTCAGACTAAAAATGGGTGTAGAAGTCACCACATTTCTGGTCTGTTCCAGAGTCTTTTTGTTAGAGATGGCGCCGCTATGCTATAGCTTTGAAGTTGTAGAGATCCTCCTGCCTCAGTCTCCTGAGTGTTGGCATTACCATTGTGGACCACCAATGCCCTGCCAGTTCCAGAGCCTTTGTCCTCATAGATGCTTGTGCCTCCACGTAGGGGAGCTCAGGCTGGATGGCTAAGTGAGAAGAGACACAAGGAGAGACACACAGCACAGCCTGCATGCAGTACCAAGAGCCCAGAGATGACTGAGGCTTTCCCTTCCCAAGAGTTTAGAGCTGCCTTAAGCCACACGAGGGAGTCCCAGAGAAGCAGAGGAGAGGCCAACTCAACCCCCAGATTCCTGCAAAAGAATACAGTGTTGTTTTGAGCTACTAAGTTTTTTTTTTTTTTTTTGTCTTTTTGAGACAGGGTCTCGCTATGCATTTCAGGCTGGCCTTGAGCTCACTTTGTAGCCCAGGCTGGTCTTGAACTCTCAACGATCCTCCTGCCTCAGCCTCCTGAGTCCTGGGACTACAGGCACGTGCCACCATGCCCGGCTTGAAATGATTTTTATAGATCTAATTTTTAAATTTTTGGGCAGTGGCGGTGGTACTGGGGATTGAACCCAGGGCCTTTGTACTGAGCTACATCCCCAGACCTTTTTTATTTTTCAGTTTTGAGATTGGGTCTCCCTAAATTGCCCAGGCTGGGCTTGAATTTGCAATCCTCTTGCCTCAGCTTCCTGAGTAGCTGGGATTACAAGTATGTGCCACCATGGTCTGTCTGGACTTTCCAGTTTTTAAGCATTAGACGAGGCTCTATAGCTTTGTAAAATCTGTCGATCAGTACAATCTAAAGACCCACTTCTTTAGGGGCTTTCTGAACAAACACATTCTTTAAACTATTTGTGTAAGCAGGTGTCAGTGTCTGCATTTGTCAGAGAAGTATAGTGCTATCCATCATGCGGGATTTAGAAGTAAGTATCTCCTCTATAGGCCTTCTCAGACATCATATAAAAAGGAGGGTTCCACACCCCCAGTTACTCTCTGGGCTATTAAATCACCTTTTTCTCTTCCACTGAGTTTTCCCAAGCTACATTCCCAGCCTTTTTAAAATTTTTTTTGGAAGCAGGGTCTCTCTAATTTTATTTGGAAGCGGGGTCTCTCTAATTTATGATTTTCCTGCCTCAGTCTCCTGAGTAGCTGGGATTATAGGTGTGCACTGAAACACCTGGCTCAGTTTTTTTTTTTTTTTATAATTTACTTATTGTTTACTTGCAGATTGTTGTTGCCTACTCTATTACCAGCACCTAGAAGGGTATCTGAGATGTGGCAATTGTATAATGTATATGGCTTTATTTTTTGAGATGGGGGTCTCATGTGGTCATTAGGCTGGCATTGAAATATATATATATATATATATATATATGGCCTGGGACTACAGACATATGACAACCTACCTAGCTTAATGCATATTTATTGATGAATAAATTATACCAGCTATCAGTCTTAAGGTTACTGCTGGGCATGGTGGTGCACACCTGTAATCCCAGCACTCGGGAGGCTGAGGCAGGAGGGTCATTTTGAGTTTGAGGCCAGCTCAAGGCCAGCCTGAACTGCATAGTAAGACCCTGTCTCAAAAAGACAAAAAAGGGGACTGGGGATTTAGCTCAATGGCATAGTGCCTGCCTGGCAAATGCAAGGTAGTGAGTTCGATTCCCAGTATCGGAAAAAAGTAAAAAAAAAATAAATAAATCAAAAAGACAAAAAAATCAAAAAGACAAAAAAAAATCTTAAGGTTATTGTAAATACTAAATTAGAGAACAATAAAGGGTATCTGGATTATGACATAGTAGGACCCTATAAATTTAGGTATTTTTCCCTTTCTCTTCTCCCTTTTCCTTAACTTCTCATGTAGTCATTCAGCAAGTCACCTTGACTTCAGCTTCAAAACATACCCTGAACTCGCTCTTTACACTGCTTATCATCACTACTGTGGTCAAGCCACACCGACCCCCGGGACTAAGAGTCACAGCGTTCAGCTGACCTTCTCTCCTTCTTCCTTCACTCGTCTCCCTGAAACCCGTTTCTCAGCAGCCAGGGATCTCCAGAAACACATTTTTTTTTTTTTTTTTTTTTGGTGGCACTGAGGCTGGAACCCAGGGCCTCATGTGCTATGCACACATTCCAACACTGAGCTACATCCCAAGCCCTAAAAGCACATCTTTTTTTTCTTTTTTCTTTTTTTGAGACAGGGTCTCGCTTTGCAGTTCATGCTGGACTTGAACTCACTTTGTAGCCCAGGCTGGTCTCGAGCTCGCGACAATCCCCCTGCCTCAGCCTTCTGTGTGCTGGGATTACAGGCTTGCGCCACCATGCCCAATATAACTTTTTTTTTTTAGACAGTGTTTCAATATGTAGTGCAGGCTGGCCTTGAACTCAAGGTGATCCTCCTGCCTCAGCCTCCTCAGTGCTGGGATTACAGGCAGGTACCACTAAGTAGGGCTTAATATTTGCTTTCTAAACATAGCATCTACATTTAGAATTAGCCCAAATGGGGCATGGTGGCACATGTCTGTAATCCCAGCACGCTGGGAGGCTGAGGCAAGACTGCAAGTTTGAGACCAGCCTGGGCAATTTAGTGAGACCTTATATAAAATAAAATAAAA